AGAGCAATTTTGTATTTTCACATGTGAAATTATAAATTGATGCTGAAATTTCGCGCCAAAATTAAGGAGTCGTTTGTTGTCCATGATATTATGCCAGATATCTTGTTTGGCTATGCGCGAAATTGTTTTGCATCGCCAGAAAGAAAATTCAAAGTACACTTTTGAAAATAGTCAGCAAGGAAATCTCAAAGAAGTAACAAAAACCAAAATGAAAAAAGAATGGTTAAAGACTGGGGAAAACTGAAACAAATTATGATCGGCAAACTTGAAACATTCAGGCTGATCTTCTCCAAGACATGCAATCGATGGTGTAGCCCGTTTAAATTATTTTCCCCAACCGCATTCACCACGTATTAATGTCTGAATGCAAAAATTCAGCAAATCATTTTGACCACCAAAGTATTATTATCACTGAATCAAACAGAAAATCTCAAGAAGCCCCTGGAAGAACAAGTCAGCCAATTTGAAAAAGTCAAAGTTTTGCGAATGCCGCAGAGGGAAGGTCTGGTGCGAGCACGGCTTCGCGGAGCCGAGGTGTCCCGGGGAGAAGTTCTGACTTTTCTGGACTCTCACTGTGAAGCGACTGAAGGATGGCTGGAACCAATGCTGGCGAGGATCGCTCAGAATCGTTCAAATGTTGTCTGTCCTGTCATAGAGGTGATCAATGCCGATGACTTTGGCTATCAAACTTCTGATGTGATTTATGAGCGTGGAGGCTTTTCTTGGGACTTATTTTTCACATGGAAAGCAATTCCTGAAGACGAGAAGAAACGAAGGGAGGACGAAACAGACTTTATAAGGCAAGTGGCAAATTGAAGTTTTTGCCCTGGATTACAATCAGATCAATCCCAGATAACACGTTCTCTTAATTAAATGATACTGAACTTAAGAAAGACACGCCAGTTGGAGGGCATTAACCTCAGTGAGGAAATTGCGCGCTAACCTCATTCACAGCTGGCCTGAAGACTTCTGCAGTTCGATCCACAAACATTCCATACTGATGACATAACTCTACATAACTCTCTGATTGGCTGTTACTTGCGCGCGGAAATTGAAAACCGCGAAACACTCTAACATGTGACAAAGTGCAAAGGGACCGCTGTACAGCTGCAGCACGAACCGGGCAGCAGCTTGAATCCAAAAACCTTTCGTAATTAGCTTCCCGACAGCGGAAAACTTTTCGCACGCGAAGAGAGATGACAGGCTAAGGCTTTGATCAGTTCATGTTCTTAGCTACGTTCCATCGAAAAATAGCAGGCTTGGTTCCTTGAGTCGTCAAGTTCCCTATCTGACCTTGGTAACCGTTGCGACTTATCTATTGCAGGAGTCCAACCATGGCGGGAGGTCTGTTTTCCATGCACAAACAATATTTCTACGACCTAGGATCTTATGATGACCAAATGGACATATGGGGAGGAGAGAACCTGGAACTTTCCTTTAGTCGGCGTTTTCAAACTCCTCTGGTTTGAAGAGCATTTTCGAAAAGTTCCGTTTTCGTGACGGATTAGTGTGGACGGTAGGGCCTAACTGCAGAAATAAAGCTGCTTTTTCAAATTTCTCCGGTGTAGCGCTGAGTAGATCCAAAATAACGGCCTAAATCGATCAGAACACAGAGCTTGCATACCAGACCGGTTAATTTTTTTTTTTTTTTTAAAAACGTTTTTGCAGGAGGAAAACTGAAGAAGAAAAGAATGTTGATATCGGCGACATTAGCGAACGAATCAAACTGAGGAAAAGACTGGGCTGTAAAAACTTTAAATGGTATCTGGAAAACGTGTTCCCGGATCTAGCTTCAGTAGATCCCAATCCTCCTGCGCAGGGAGAGGTACGTAAAGCACCTTATCCAGGAGGTTCCACTGTCGTAAAAGTTCCATGGGGTTAAAGCATGCTATTTTGATTTATTTGGAAACGCAAATGTGATCTCTTTTCCATATGGACACCGTTCCCATACCATTCCTAGTTCTCCTATAGTATCACTCGTTTACATGAAACTCCAACATGTATTCCGTTGCGTATAATACAAGGACAGTATATTTACCTGTAAGCCCGTGCAGCTAANTCAGGGCATCAAGAAACTACTGCTCAAGCCATTAGTTGATGGTCAACAGAGGATTCTCCCGGTGGTCAAATTACCAATTGCCTATAGCCTTACGTGAGAAACCAATTTATAATTAAAGATAATAAAATTCAGTGACTACTTATTCCAGGGCACCGTAGTACACGTGTGGACGGGCACTTGTCTAGACATGTCTAAAGATCAACAGAACGTGGTGGTTAATCCATGCAAAAGAGGAAAGAGCACACAGAAATGGACATTCTCTCGTTACCAACAGCTAAAAACCAGGAAGAACTCCTAAAATTCCTGCTTAGCCACGAGGCACAATGGTTTGGGTCAAGAATGGCGGGATGTGGGGCTGGCAGAATGTTGGTCTGGCGGGTAGAGGAGGAACTGGTGACTTCAAAGTATGGATATATAACCATGGCTACATCACGTGCGGTCGCCATGACGCCTCATTGATGTTATGATATTCAAGAAAGACAACTTTGATAGGTTTATAAACAAGTATGGTGTTATATTTACTTTTATTAAAGAGATCGATTTTTGCAACTTGTCTGATGTAGCTACGGGCTCAAAGGTTATCTCGTTTGGACAAAATCAAGCAACTGATGAAATGAAAACCAAAACGTAATAATTTAACCGCGTCCCCAAAACTTCGCGTTTCTGTAACCAACCTTTCTTTTCTCTTTCTCTCTATCTTTGGGTTTTTTTCTGAAACTGATATGCGATTAACTTTGATGATTTCAAAGGAATTTCACTTGCATGTTAGTTTGTTAGTGAGTTATGGTCTGTGATGAGCCTTATTCTTTTGCCGTGCCGCAAAAACTTCCACAGAATCAGGGCTGTTCAGTACCTTTACGAAGATTTGCCGAAAACGGCACTATACCACAAAGACTTCTCAAGAATTTGTTTCAATGAGAACAAAAGCCATCTAACAAACAACCTTCTATAACATAAATAATTTTTATTATAACTGACTCGGTTTGTAATACGTGTCTAAAAAATGCACTCTCTTAAACCTATTTCATCCCAAGACAGACGCCTCGAATGACGAGAGAGCACCCTCCGTGATTGGAGTAATAAAATTTCAAATTGTCAACTTTTGATAGCTAATCATTGTGAAGCCATTTGTTCTTCGGAAATAAAATCATTCGATCACGATAAAATTCACGTATTCCACTTTGGAAAATTCTTCAGGAGTCCCTTGAAATGAGTTTTTTCTTATTGTGTATCCATTTCTTCTTCATCACTGTCTGCAGGCTCAGAATTGTCATCCACGTCACCATTTTCTTGGTCTTGGTTTTCGTTTGTGTCTTCAGGCAAACTGGCCAGCAGTTCAGTCACGTGATCCATCATGGGCTGGTCCTCACATCCAAATTGTGTAAATAGCTGTCAAAATTAATAAAACGCAGGAAACGTTATGTAATCAGATGCATCTACCGTGCAATTTCACTCGAACCAAAAAACAATATTTTTAATACTGCATTTACATGAAAAAACACGTGCCTCTCCCCACCATGAGGATTAGCGTTTCCACTGACATGGTCAGCAGCAATGCAAATTTCTTGGAACAAAAGAATGTATGTATGTATGTATGTAAAAGAAAGTGTTAGCATGAGAAAAAAGTTCAACTTTCACAGGATTGGTTTGGAACTCCAAAAGGGCTGCCGTGACGTCACGTGAAAACACTCGTCAGTCCTAACTGTTTTATCAATATGGCCTACACACTGACACCCACTGGCTCCACTAATCTGTTGGATTGTAACAGAGAGTGGTCCTCGAATGCTAAACGAGCTACTTGGCACACAATGGCAAGCATGAAGAGCTGGCTTACCTTCTGAGCTCGCTCCAGGCATGCTCTGATGCTTGAGCTGTCCTGATTTGTAATGTGATTCAACCAACCAACTAGATACCACACCTACAAAGTTGATGAACAACAAAAGTGATTATACCTCACACTATTTTATGAAAACGAATCAAAACACGCAGCATTAAGAACACAGTTAATACACCAAGGACCATTGAAAAGCACATTACTAAAACAAATATCTGACATTTTATGCAATTCAGTAAGAACTGAAATACAGCTAATGGCCACTTTTTTGTCCTGGCAAAAGTTCCATACATTCACTCTTATTTTAACCTCTATACAATGGCCACCTCTCCACAGTGGGAACAGTCACTTAAACACCTCCCAACTGCCAAAACAACATCTCAACAATGGACAAATGGTGTATACAAAATACTCCTTTTCAATGTGCAATGTCATGAAAATTAATCCATACGGTTGGTCTCTGTTTTTGTTTGATTTCTATTTCAATGACATATTTTGATTGTGTTACGTATTTAAATGCTGCATTTAGCATCCACCCCCCCACGACGAAAAAAAACCCAGTGTCACATTACTTGACACCTCCCCGATAGGGCCACCTCTCTACAATGGCCACTTTCCCCCGTCCCCAAGGAGGTCGTTATGGAGAGGTTCAACTGTGTTCTTTTTAGTTACCTGAGGAAATTCATCATTCTCTTCAATAAGCTCTTCCAGTACTGAACCAGCAGTCTAATGTAAGGAGAAAATAATGATGNGGGTGGGTGGGTGGTAACCAGCACCCTATCCAGTACGACTGGCCATGTTTTCTAAGTTTGGCCTGCACTGAAAGACTGAGTAAAGAACTTAACTTGTTAGTAAGAATTTTTACTAGATAGAAACAGAAGAGAAGCAAGTAACAACAAATAAAATCTGTGTAATAATATACGACATGTCAAACTTAAAGGATACTGATTTTGCTTTGTCTACATCTCCTGTTTCAAGGAATACTGCTCCTGCCATTTCCAGTACTTCCACATTTTCAGGCTCCATATCTAGTGCTCTTTCACAGAACTTTATGGCCAGTTCAAAATTGAAATTATCCAAACATTCATCTACCTATAATAAAAATAAATTATATTAAATTAAATTATACTGTACACATACCTATACTTGAAAATGAAAGTCTTACACCTTGTGGAAGTCTTACTATGATTATCAGTTGAGTAAGGTGCGATGGACGTTTGGTAACCAGGTTTTAATGTTCAAATTGTATTGTTGTCATGAGCACACTGACTCTGTTTCCAGTCGCAACTTGTCAGCCTTTGAGGTCATCAGCAAAGTGCACGAAATTATAGGCAATGATTTTGTTACCATTGAAAACAAGGAAAGTTGCCCATGGCAACACTGTAATTTTGTCACCGAAGCTCTGTTGCACCTTACTCAACTGATAATTGTAGTAAATATCTTTACGTAAAATTCAAACCTGTTTTAGCAAATCTGCAACGTTGTACTTGATCTTCCCTTTGGTCTTCTTCTTCACAGTGTCAACAGTTTTGCAATCATTTTCAGATTGATTTACATCTGCTACAACTTTGTCTTTAGGTTCAGAGGAAAGTCCTGTTTTAAAGATAACATTTTTAACAATGTTAATTTATATGTGAATGTTTGTGAAGGGCAAAACTTTGAATGACAGTTTGATTGTCAAACTTTATAGTAATGGCAGTGTTCTATTCTGCTGAGTGCTTGGGTACATTTTATGCAAATCACATGAAAGATTCTCAGGGTTGGTTTCAAATGCATATATGGCTTCATGACTGCAAGGAATTGTTCAGATTACCTTTTTTACATGGCCTTCGCTAGCAACAAGCAAACTTAGATTTGTATTGTATACTCAGTAAACTGCCTGGTCCCAAACATGCGTGGTGTCTGTCTGGGTTTAGATATATTTCGCTGACTTCAATAACGACATGAACTTAATTAACTAGCGAAGTAGAACAAAACTTCATCACAATTTAAGAACAAAACGTGATGAAGTTTGTCGTTACACGTGGTAACTGTTGTAGACAGACGGCGTATTACAATCATTTCAAATGTCCTGATCAATTCAACCGGTATGTGCAGACCAGGAAAATTCAGTCTTAATTACGGACGTAAAATATACCTTTCTTTTTAGCTGTTGTCGAGTTTTTCTTCGCTTTTTTCTTCCGTTCTTTCCCCATTTTCCTGAGTCGCACGGACATTCGCACGTGAAATAAACCCTTATGGGAGAAACCGCTGACGGAGTTACAAGACAACGCCACGAAAATTATGTCATGTATTTAACACTATATGTCCTCTTTATATATTGTGAGCCATTTTTTGATAAAACGTCTTAACGGGGTCATGGGATTATCAAGATTCCTGCCTTAATATAAAGCAACAGAACTACTATGGGTAGATTGGACAAAGAAACTACAGGCAAAGGACTGGATAATTGATAGGATTCTTAGTGTGACGCTTAGTGTCACTTACACACATCCACAAGGAGCTCACTGAAAGTTTTTACCCCACTGATGAAATTATGGTGGTGTGGATTAGAAGCATTCAAAAACGCACTGCTTTAAATCTCCCTGTCATTTTATCGAACTGCAATGCTCTCATGGAAATCCTAAGAATCGGCCATTTTGACGTGAACCTCATGTTTGTTGGGAAAGGTTACATAAAGAGCCTCAATCTGCGCTACCGTAGAAGAAATGTTGTGACTGATATTCTTGCATTTCCGTACTTTGAGGTAAGTGGAAAACATTTATCACGTTTGCCAACTGTGCTTTGAAGCTGAAGAATGTTAAGTTTGAATGTTGAGCATACCAGCTTAATTTAATTTGACAAATGACTTGAAATGGGTCATTCCAATTGTTTATCTGCATTCCCCCAACCCCCCTTCCCCACCCCCCACCCACTAAGGAGGGAATCCTCTAGCCTGTCGGACAATTATTTCAAAGGAGCCGACACAATTTTGAACTTCTCAGATGAAAACTTCAAAGGTGCCTGCCAACAACAGAAAACTAAGCTGTCTGAATCTGGGGGGTGTCAATAAAAATAGATTGTCCTATGATTATGTGACTCACTGGACCTCCAGAAGGTTTTGGGTAGGGGAGGGGTAAGGTTCTGAGTCCTGCCTGTAGTTTACAGGGTTCTTAGTTTCTTTTCATGAAAAAAAAAAAGTAAATGACTGAAAGACCACCTCACTTCCTGTAAGGCCTTTTCTGTGCACAAGTCATTCTCTGGTTTGGTCTGTTTGGTTGTTATTCCAGAGTAATTCATACAGAGGCTTTAACTGCCAACTGCTAGGCATCACCCTCGTCAGCCGTTGACCAGGAACTATGGTAGTTTCGGCGGCTAGCAACGGGACTACAGTTCCTGGCGCCGCCAGCGGCAGATGCCACTTGGTGATGCCTGGTCAGGCGTAATAGCAGCAAGCGTGTGGTGTATGCACAAGGAGAGTCCAGGCAGCAGAGAGCTTTACTGGATGAAAATATCCATACTCTTGCTTGTAGATGGAAGACATTTTGTTTTAAACTCTCTCGCCATGACCCTCTGGAAATTAATTTTTAGCGTCGTACTTTCCTTTATTCATCTATTTTTTGCTTTACTGACCCGCAACCTTTTTGGAATTTCCAGTGACCTTCCCAGGTGTGAGTACCAGGGGGTATTAGATATTTTCTGAAACTGCACATTTCAACATGTGTACAGTATTTTTCTGTATAACAGAATCTGGTCCCTGGTGTCCTTCCACCTGTACCACGGCTGGAATATGATTATACATTGGGTGATATCGTCCTTGGAACTCCACAAATTGTGAAAGACTGTGAAGCTGATGGAAAACATTTAGATGATTATTTACCGGTAAGCCATTCACAATGACCTCATGATTAGAATGCTGGACACTTGCAAAAACTTTAATGATTAGGCCATGTAATGATAAACAGTACTTAGCAGTCAAATGTAAGTGACAGTCACTTGAAACTCTGAACGAGGCGACTTGATTCTTGATCCTCAAACCTCAAAGCCCAGTCGAAGAACTGCTCCAGTTTGTGATTTATTCTTTCATTCATCTCCAGGTGATAATAACACATGGTCTTTGTCACTTACTAGGATATACACATGACACACAGAACAACCTGAACAAGGTATCTTGTCCTTTAATGTGTACCGACAAATAGTAATGCTGGGGGCAGGGAATCCTGCAATGTTCCAGCATCCCATCCAGGAGAGAGTACAAATACTCCTGGTCACTTCATGCTGCAGAAATGGGGATAAGCTCCAGGCCTGATTAGCCTGTTCCAGGCTCTCGGTCAGTGGGGATGATTGAAAAAGCGGGATAAAACAAGATAAAACACCACTCCATTGTATTTTAAAATGGTATGTTTTAGGGACCAATAAATCTCAAACCATTTCCAGATTGGTCTCCTTTAGGGGTTTAATTCAAGTTTTCTAATGAGCATTCCCGACTTTTTGACGTGGGAGTCCTTCCCTGGGTGTTGGACTTTGGATAGTGAGGTTGAGGGCTTGTATCTGGCCAAGCTGGCTCAGTTGTGTTCTTGGAAAAAAAATATGTGGTCATTAAAATCTCCTGATGAGAACTGGATGGCCACCACAAGAGCTCTTCATGGTAAATATGCGTGATCATATTAACAAGTTGTATTGACTTGATTTCGTTTTCCTGTGCAGATGCGCAAAAAGGAGATAGAAGTCCTAATTGAATTCAACAGAATAACTGGCTACAATGCAGTGCCTATAACTCCAGAGAAAGTGGAACATTTTATCATGTAAGTGAGAATGGCAATAAAGTGTAACCACCCCTAGTACCACCCGTAGTACCAGTATCTGAGTACCAGATCATGCCTGTATGACCCCCGATCTTCATTGGATGTTTCTTTTTATAGTGGGTTATGTGTAAAAATGTTGTGGGACGTTCTCCTAGATAAAGTCTTCTTATGGAAGTTTGTCCCCTTTAGGGAGGTGTTGTCATCTTGTAGGAAATGGCCCCTTACATTTTGTGGTCCCTTACAACTGTGCATGAGATAGTCCCTTTTGTGACGTAGCCCCTTACATGAGGCCATCCCTTTGTTGAAGTTTGCACATTTTGGGTGATGGTCCCTATGACCCTTACGGAAGGTGCCCTGTGGGAACCTTCTGTGAGAGAGCGCCTCTGTAGACGTAGAAGTAGGCCTTTTTGAACAGCGATTCTAGTCAATTAATTGCAGGTGTTCATTAGTCACTAGCTTTGACTCTTTTGTATGTTTTCAGGCCTTTGGACGAAGAAACCAAACGTTTTTCAGGAAATGCTGAATATGCACAAGATGGCGAGAAGGGAGTAGATGATTTGAAAGGGGAATGAATTAGTGGAGTTCAAATCACTCACTGTGTAATTCAACAAAAGGACTGAAGAAACAGTCTTCAGCAAAGGCAAACTGGTTGGCGAGAAAAGATTTCATGCCATAGTTTCTCCAAACGTTGGTTGTTATGTCAACAGGACTCAAGAAAACGAAGTTGACCTTCCTAAATCGAAATGGTCTGGCGCTCGGCAAGGCCACTCTCCCAGTGACTCAAAAAGTAATCTGTTTATTTTGGATCAGGTTGAGTTGTTAAACTGAGTCGTACGATATGCGTGGGGGACTGGTAACTATACAGTCCAACCTCAGCCCCAGGGCCTTCTCCTCGCCAATTAAAAAGTGGTTAAGGCCCTGAGAACGAGGTTCCTTAGAGAGCAATTATAAGGCAAAACGTACGAAAAATAGTAAGACCTCATTACGAATTCCGATCCTTGTCTGTTTTTAGATTGTGGAAGAGAGGCGTGAAGTAGCAGGAATAGAAAAGGATAGAGGACTGATAACTGTATCTCCATCGTGCAATACTGTTGTTTATTTTCTCGTTTATATGTTTGTTTACCCTCCGCGCAGATCTTTTTTAGTTCCTTCGTGTTTAGTTTCCCCTTTTCTCTTTCTAGACACAATTAACACAACCTACTGACCGAATATTAACTAGTACTGGTGGTGTGAGGATCATCGATTATCGAAAACTTTAACTTACGCGACAATCGATTGTGCTTGAATCGCATGGTATCGCGGTATCCAGGTTTCTCACTCAATCGACAACGCGAGTGTCTTAGAAACAGCAGGTCCAAAGTGTGGAAATATCTTGGCTTGTACAATACGAGAGTAGGTCCTGTTACTAAGCAAATTCGCGAAGTACTTATCAGCAGACTTACCCGATCGGTTGGTTGGCACAATCCAATTATTTCTGAGAGAGTCCTGAGGGGTGGTAGTCCAGTTCTGGCCCTATCTCTGTCATGCAACGCTAGTTGCGTGACACAGAAAGGGCCAGAACTGGACTAGAGGGGTGGGAGAAGAGTAGAAATTCCATTTCCCAGGCCAAAGTTTGCCCAAGTCGCATTTCCAAGCCTGTTTTTCATTTTTTTCTCTTTTTGCTCAAACTGCATTCCCTTTTTTTATTACTTTGGTTTCCAGTCCCAGTGAACCGAATTCCCGTTCTAGGAGATCCCAGTTTCCGTTTTACCCATTCATGCCACTCTTCTGATAAACGATTACGAATTCTCAACTCAGC